CCAGGTTTTTAGCATTGAAGTGGGGGTGGGTAAAAGAGGGTGAGGCTAGATTTTTGGCCATAGAGTGGAGGTAGGTAATTGATACACCTAATATATATAGTGTATTTAGACACATTTTTATACTTATTTTTGAGATATTGCACTTTAATGGAAGGTATTTGTGTATTTTTCTTTCAGGTACAAGTAAAAAGGTGAAAAATGCTAAAAGGAGTGAAAAAAGATCGAATTTGGAGCAAAGAGGAGAAAATTATGCTAAAGTATTTTGGCGCCTAAGCGCCGGTTAAACAGAGAAGGCTCTGGTTAAACAATGAAGGCCACGCTTACTCCGCGCTTAAGTGTCAGAGGCAGTTATTTGATGAGTAAATTTGGTTTTGCAAATTTTGAAGAGGTATTTGAGGCACCTTTTGGCATAAATAGGTGGTTACAATCACCAAGGATGAAAATACAAGTTAAAGACATGTGAAAGGAGGCATCTCTTGGGGAAATACATTGAATCAAGACATATTTTGAAGAGATACCAAAGGAACCTATTGGAAAATTATAAAAGAAGAGGCAAAGAAGAAAAGAAGTGTATCTTAAAAGTGCTGAAATCGGGTGGAATGATTTAAAATTGCTGCAAGTGTTAGGGAGAGAATTTTAGGCACCAAAAATTTACCTTATCCTTTTAATTTTTAGTTTTATTCTGAGAGTGTTGTAAAAGAGAAGAGATTCAAAGGAACTTCAAGAGTTTGGTGGAGGACTTGAGATAAGTTTTTTGTTTTGTTTTTAAACTAATTTAGTTTTAATTGTGATTTCTTGTTTGTTTGACAATGATTTCTACTTTTAAACTAAAGTGTAGTTTTGTTTTCTCTATGGTTTCTGAGTAGGTTTATTTATGTTTCTCCATAAAATGATAAGTAATTAAAGTTTGGACGGAAGTTGCTCCATAAAATGATAAGAAATTAAAGTTTGGACGGAAGTTGTAGAGAGTATTGATCTTTAATGTTGGAAGAAGTTGTGATGATTTAAATCCATGAGCTTCATTTACTTCTTGATTTGAACAATCTAGATGTTAAAATTTGTTGTGAAAACATGTAAGAAATGGGTTGATATTATCTCAATAAACAATTGGAAAGAATCACACGAGGTTGTATGACTGAGAATGTATTGCATATGATTTAGTGCAAATAAATAGGGAAATGATCATTGGAAATAGGGAAATGATCATTGAAAAGTGTAAAGTTAGAGGACTTTAAAGTGACAGGTTAAAGCCCCTAACTTGGTTTATTGTTTTAGGTTCTGATACGAGATGTTAGCCCTCAGGTGGAGGGAATCGAGGGAACTCTAGAGTGAGAGCTGGTATCTTCCCTGCCTAGTCGATCTTCATAACTCTTCAAACTTTAATTTAGTCAATGTTCTTTATAACATCTCTAGTAAGGGTAAAAAATATAATTGCTGTTATTTGGCACAACACAGTTTGCATACTTTCATAACAGAATTTCTATACTTATTACTGATTCATGATAAGGAGAAAAATATTTATCAAAGTTAGTACTTTTCTTTTATATAAACTCAAGTTATTTTTTAAAATTGTTATTATTCTGTCAAAATATCAAAAATACAAAAAAAATTTGAATTTTAATACTGCGAAAATATTTTATTATTGTTCTGTCAAAATATCAAAAATACAAAAAAGATTTGAATTTTAATACTGCGAAAATATTTTTAGTTTAAGTAATTGCATTTTTAGAATAGAAAGTTTGTTGATTAAAAGTGCATATTGTGTATTCTCCCTGTGGGTTTGATATTCAGGTCTTAATCAAAAAGTCTTATATTACTT